AAAATAGAACAGTTTTAGAAAACAAGAAGTCTTTTTAAAGACGATAGTAGCATCACCAAGTCTAGAACGGGGGGAACCAGAAGTAGATTCCTCTTATGTTTTGCCACTAATCCAAGAGTGAACCCAAAGTGCAGAAATCAAAACCAAAATGTACCTGCCTTAGCTCAAGCTTTTATGCTTTAAGAACTGTACTGTGAGGCACCTGGATAACTCAGTTGGTTAAGCTTCTGACTCTTGATTTCAGCTCAGGTCATGGTCTCAAAGTTCATGAGTTCAAGCCCCACATTGGGCTCTGCGCTGACAGTGCAGAGCCTGTTTAGGATTCTGTCTCCTTCTCTCTCTGACCCTCCCCTCTCGCTCTCTATCTCTCTCTCTCTCAAAATAAAATAAAACATTGGGAAAAAAAAAAAAAAAAAAAAGAAAGAACTGAACTGTGCCTGGGTGGCTCAGTCAGTTAAGCATCCAACTTTGGCTCAGGTCATGATCTCACAGCTCATGAGTTCGAGCCCCACATCAGCCCAGGGCCTGAAGCCTGTTTCAGATTCTGTGTCTCCCTCTCTTATACTCTCTCTCTCTCTCAAAAATCAACAATAAGTTGGGGAGCCTGGGTGGCTCAGTCGGTTAAGCATCCAACTTTCACTTAGGTCATGATCTCACGGTTCGGTTAGTGAGTTTGAGCCCCGCGTCGGGCTCTGTGCTGACTGCCAGCTCAGAGCCTGGAGACCGTTTCAGAGTCTGTGACTCCCTCTCTCTCTGACCCTCCCCTGCTCACGCTGTCTCTCTCTCTCTCCTAGAAATAAATAAAACATTTTAAAAAATCAATAATAAGCATTTTAAAAATGAAAAAAAAAAAAAGAAATATACTATGGGCATGCCTGGCTGACTCAGTTGGTAGACCATGAGGCTCTTGATCTCAGGATCCTGAGTTTGAGTCCCACATTGGGTGGAGATTACTTAAAAAAAAATACTCTGGGTTCTTTAATGTACAGCAGGATTAAAGAACTTGGATTAAAGAAACGATTTTTATTTATTTTTTTAAACAGTTTTTAAATGTTTATTTATTTTTGAGAGAGAGACAGAGCATGAGCAGGAGAGGAGCACAGAGAAAGGGATACACAGAATCGAAACAGGCTCCAGGCTCTGAGCTGTCAGCACAGAGCCTGGCACGGGGCTCAAACCCATGAACTGCAAGATCATGACCTGAGCCAAAGTCGGACGCTTAACCAACTGAGCCACTCATGTGCCCCAAGAAACATTTTTAAAAAGAAGAAGCAATGTACTCTGGAGAATATCAAACATCTGCTAAGCATCAGGAGCAACTGACCCATCCTGAAAACCTCACATGACTTTCCAGACCAAGGATCCATTGGGGAAAATAAAACCAGCTGTTCCAATGTTTTGTCCCTCTCCCCAAGCCATACTAGAAAAGAATCCAAAAAAAAAAAAGAACATTCAGAAATGATCATGGCAAATCTAAGAAAGCTGACTGAAACAAAGCATGTTTTATGTGAGGAAAAGGAGAACAATTACTCCTAAACCCTTAAGTCTCTCAAGAAGTTGTCTCAAAAGGATATAAGAAATACAGTCAACTGCTGCAGTGTCCCAGCCTCCCATATGGCTGGCCTTTGAAGGTAGGGGACCAGTCAGACACTGCTTTCTCCTAGGTCTGGGAGGACCCTCGGGGTGGGGAGTCAGGGCTTGCTATAGAATAATCACTAGGAACTTCACAGAGTTACCACAGAAGAGTCAGCAGAAGAGATGAAGGTGGGGTGGCTGTGGTGACGGCTGATAGAGTCCTACCCAGCCCTCAAGTCCCCCAAGTCAAGACTTAGCTTAGTACTTCATGGAAAAGACAGATACCATCAGACAGGAACACCTACCTCTCCCCTCACCAAACCCATCAACCTCCCAACATGGGCTCTGGCATGGGCAGCCCTTCCTCCCATAAAATGGGTGAAAGGCTCAGTTCCCAGCTGGGTCCAGTGAGACTTAAGCCCCGGATCCCTTCCCATTCATCCTCTCAGAAACACAGCTCCAGCAACTGTCCCGTCTCTTTCCTGCATCATCTCCCTCTCCACTGGATCATCTCCAGCAGGACAAAACATGCTCTATCATCTCCCACTAAAAAAACCAGGACCCCCTGCCTCAAACCTACAACCTCTCTAACCCTCAGCTAATGTCTCAACCCCACTTCATAACAAAACTGCCTGAAAGATTCACCTATACTTATGGACTCCACTTCCATGCCCCTATTTTCTCTTCCACCTGCTCCCGTCAGGTATTGTCCCTTAAGCTCTGGGACCCCCTCATTCTACTGGATTTTCTCCTACCCTCTCTCTCCTTTGTTGGACCCACCTCTTTTCCCAACCTCTAAATGCCTCTATATCTCAAGGTTTAGGTCTTCTTTTCTGTCTCCACTCTCATCCAAAATGAGTTCAATTAATCTTGTGGCATTGAATATCACCTACAATACCCAAATATACCTCTTCAATCCTGTCTCTCTGGAGCATCGCACTAGTTGACACAGTCATACTTCAAATGTCAAAACAAGATCTCATGCTCTCCTCCACCCCAAAGCTGCTTCTCCCTCCAGCCCTCCCATCTCCATGATATGAGTACCATCCACTCAGGTACTCAAGCCTCTGGGAGTCATCTTTGACTTTTCTCTTTCTCTCACAGACTGCATCCAAATCATCAAGACTGAATCTGACCACTTCTCTTCCTCTCCGGTACTACACCCTCAGTCAAATCGTCATTAACTCTTGTCTGGACTATAGCAACAGCCTGCTACTACTATCCTGTCCCTACAGTTGCCCACCTACATATAGCCCACTCTACAGCAGGTAGAACGGTCTTTCTAAAAATGCAAATCAAATCACATTGCTCCCCTGCTTCAAACCCTCCAATAATTTCTCACTGGGCTTAGAATAAAGTTTAAAGCCCCTTACCTTGACTCTATACCATTTAGCTCTTTCCTATCTGTAACCTCTTCTCCTGCTACTTTCTCATTTGTTCACCACATTCCAGCCACACTAGCCTCTCCATTCTGCAAACTTGAACTTGAAGCCTTACAGCCTTTGCTTTAACAGAACTGATCATTTTATGGGGCGCCTGGGTGGTTCAGTTGGCTAGGTATGTGACTTCGGCTCAGGTCATGATCTCGCGGTTTGTGGGTTCAAGCCTCGCATCGAGTTCTGTGCTGACAGCTCCGAGCCTGGAGCCTGCTTTGGATTCTGTGTCTCCCTCTCTCTCTGCCCCTCCCCTGCTTGTGCTGTCTCCCTCTGTCTCTCAAAAATAAATAAACGTTAAAAAAATTTTTTTAAACAGAACTGGCTGTTCTCTTCTAGAAATACTTTGCCAGCTCATCAACACAAGGATGGCTCTTTCCTGTCGTCGAAACTTTACCTTAAACGTCACCTATTCACAAACACCACTGATCTCTCAATCCAACCACACCATTCAGTCACTTGATATCACATGATGTTATTTTAATTTTCTGCACAGAGATTACTACTGACATTATTCTTGTTTTGGGGGGAGGGGGTTGTTCTGTTTTGTTTTGTTTTTTGTTTTGTTTTGTTTTCCTTGTTGTCTGCTCCCTCTCTCCACTAGACTTCAGGCTCCATAAGCATCCAGACCTTGTCTGCCTCATTCACTTCTGCACTTCCAATGCCTAGAACAATGAGGAGCACACAAGGAGAAATCTAACAAAGATCAATAAATGCAATATGAGCCACACAGGCCCACTGACTGGGAGGGTCGAAGGTTCCAGCCAGCTCTCCAACTTCTCTCTCAAACACAGACGTGAGGCAGGACAGCAGCACCCCAGCCAGTCCCAGCGTTTACTTGTATAAATCTCATCCACCAGATTTTCAAACATCCTGCAAGAGCCCAAACCAGGAAAGGAAGATCCAGGATTTTCTGTGACCATCCGAGCTTCGACTATGCTGCTCCAATACTGACTAGCAGTGTTCTGAGTTGGTGAAGAAAGGAATTCTGACTCCAAGCCCCCAAAAGGCCACCGTCCAGACCTTGGCTAGTGCATTCATTCAGTAAACACAGATTTAACGAGTGCCTACTCTGTGCCAGGCACTGGGCAAAGGATCAAAAGCTGCTTCTGACCTCATGGAGCTGACTGGCGAGCACACAGAAGGTTAGAGAAACGGGGTAACACAGGTACACGCCCGGAGTGGGAAAGTAAGGGCCACACTGGTGCTTGTGGCTGGACGGCACCCTAGCCTACGGCCCCCCGATTTCATCTCTACAGACTCAGGTTTTGGGTAAACTGGCTAGTAGCGCAACGCTCGCGGGCTTTTTCGGAACAGCTACCGCTCGACTAGCGGAGACAAGAGTGACGGTCCCTACCGAGCCCCGGCTTTCGGAGACGCACAGCGCTCGAGGAATATTATTGGCTGATGAGCTCGCTCCCCACCCCCATCCCTCCCCCGCAGGCCCGCGCTCAGGATGGGGAGGGGGCTGAGGTTCCGACTCTCCACCACCATCCCAGAGAACGAAGTCGAAGCCAAAGCCCTCCCCACAACAGATCCCCATTCTCTCTCTCCCCGCTCCCCTCCCTCTCTACTCTCCACTCCCCAGCCCCAAGTTCTCTGACCCAAGGCCCAACTCCCCACCCCCGCCCACCCGGGTGGGGCACCTCCCGGCTCCGTGCGGCCCGAGACCCCAGCGGGGAGGCGTGTCCGGCCCCTCACACCCGGGTCCGAATCCCTCCCAGCTGTAGGACCAGGGGGTAGTTTGAGGCCCCCGCCCCCTCTGCCTGCGAGATTCTGGCCCCGCGCAGATTTGCGGACACCCCCCCCCCCCCCCCCCCCCCCCCCCCCCCCCCCACACAGCTCCAGCACACAAAACCTCAAGAGAGAACGGCCGCGGCGCTGTGCGCGCCAACTCGCCCGGGACCCGCGCGGGAGGCGGGAGCGCGCGGCGGGAACCCGTCGGACCTCGCTGCACAGGTGCGAGCCCGGCGCCGCGTCCGGGTAACTCACTCGATGAAGTAGCTGGCGCCCTCCTCGGTGAAGCCCTCCTCCCAGCCGCGGGGCAAGTCTGAGGAAATGCCAAAAAAAAAAAAAAAAAGTCAGGTCAAACTTGGGCCGCGCGGGCGCGCACCGCCCCCCCCCGAGTGCCGCCCCCCACCCCGCCTGCCCGGCGCCTACCTGAGCGGATCATGTGGCCCGAGTTGACGGGCTCCCCGGTGCGCGGGTGCAGCCAGGTCGTGCGGCGGAGCTCGTCACTGCGCGAGAGAGGTGCACCTGTTAGCGCCGCCGCCGCTCTGGGGGCGCCCGCCCGGCCCCGCACCCCGCCCGGCCCCGCGCCCCCGCCAGCTTGCCCGCTTGCCCGCGCCGCACTTGATGAAGAAGACGCGGCCGTCCCGGCACACGCCGTAGGACCAGTGCTCAGGTAAAGTGTCCCGCCCGACCGCCGCCGCCATGTTCGCCGAGCGCGGATCCGCCGCGGCCGCCGCGGGGCGGGGGAGAGGGGGCGGGGGAGGGGGCGGCGCGGGCGGCGGGCCGGCGGGCTCGGCCTGCGCGGGCCCCGGCGGCGACCCGGGGCGCTCCATCGCGGCGCGCGGCCACGTCCCGGGAGTCCCGAGTTACCGCGCGGCCGCCGAAGTTCGCCGCCGCACCCGCCGACCCGAGCGCGGTGGCCGCGGCCTTTGTCCCCGCGCCTTCCCCGCCCCCAGCCCGCCGGCCCGGGCGCGCCCGCCGCGCGCCCCTTGGCCCCTGAGGCCCCGAGACCCGGGCGGGGCCAAGGGCCGCTGTTGGAGCGCCTCGGCAAACTCCGGAAACAAGGTGCACCCCGAAAGCTCCAGTAAACCCCACCCGACTTCCACGACAAATCTTCAGCCTCCAGGAACTTCTGGAGTTCTTTCTGAACCGTGTAAATCTAAACAGGTTCCATCCATATTCCGAGCCTCGGTGTGTTCCTTCCTCTGTAAAATAAAGTCGGTAGTAAGTACCACAGGAGATTGCTGTGCAGCTTGCGTGAAGTTACTGTGGTGTAAAGTGACTAACTGAACCCTGGCCCGAAGCAGGTGCTCTGTTAACGCCAGGCCAGGCATGATTTCATTTTCCCAAGTTTGCAGCTGGGGTATGAAGCAGGAGAGTGCAGGTTCTCTCCTCACACACCTCCCACACACACAGCCCCAAAGTTACAGGGATCTTAGGCTTCTGCCTTCCAATTCCTGTCAAGGACAGAAAGAAAGACGACACTGTGGACCTGGCTGCATCTCGTGTATCTTTAGAAGAGCAGACCCTCCAGTCTGGGCCTTGAGTGGGGGCTCTGGGAAATTCTTAACATGGCTGGAGCCTTCTCATAGTCAAGTGTATGCTGGAAACTCAGCTCCTGGGGCCTCTTTTGGACCCTTTTCCACCTCCCTTCTATATTCCATTACTTGTGTCCACTTAATTGATATTCTTATGCATGTGTGTGTGTTTATTGCCTTGTATGTTGTATATTAACCCCCCCCACACACACACACACAAATGTCAGCTGGATGAGAGGAGGGACCTTGCCCTGTCTCATATACTGCCATATTCCCAGTGCTTAGAACAGTGCCTGGCTCCTGTGTGAATTCAATGAACACTGAAAAGGGGCATAAAACCCTTTCCACACTGACACCCCTCGCTGAGCATGGACGGAGAGGAAGCTGGGCTCTAGGAGATGTTAAGGAGAACCTTCAAGCGATATAGGCTGCAGTTGGTGGAAAGAGGAAACTGTACGTAGTATGGGCACTGTTATTCAGACAGGCATCCCAGACAGGTGGAAATCAGTTGGCCCCAAGGACTGGTCAAGTTTGACTGAGAAGAGAGCACCCCAGAGGGGAAGGATGGGAGAGCAAACACAGGCTCGTGGGAAGGATATAGGATGTTGAGATCATAAAGGTTCCCTTCCTTGAGACAGACAGTGGTATTGGGGAAGGAGGCTAGTATGAGTTGTAAGGACGGAGTTGGGGGGGCACCTGGCTGGCTCAGTTGGTGGAATGTGTGGCTCTTGACCTCAGGGTCATGGGTTTGAACCCCACAATGAGTATAGAAATTGCTTAAATAAATTTAAAAAATTTAAATTTCTTTTTTTTTTTTTTTTATTTATTTCTAGGAGAGAGAGAGAGGGACAGCATGAGCAGGGGAGGGTCAGAGAGAGAGGGAGTCACAGACTGAAACAGGCTCCAGGCTCTGAGCTGGCAGTCAGCACAGAGCCCGACGCGGGGCCCGAACCCACGACCCGCGAGATCATGACCCAAGTGAAAGTCGGACGTTTAACCCACTAAGCCACCCAGGCGCNAACCGACTAAGCCACCCAGGCGCCCCAAAAAATGTAAATTTCTAAAGAAAGAAAGGGTTGGTGTGATTGTGGAGAATACTAAACACCTGTCTGAGAGGAGCTCTTGCCTTTGAGGAGGTGCTTGAGCAAATGATAAGAAAGTTGTGTTTTTATTCTTATTTTTTAAGTTTATTTACTTAAAAAATTTTTAATGTTTTATTTATTTCTGAGAGAGAGAGACAGCTGAGCAGGGTAGGGTCAAAAGGGAGGGAGACACAGAATCCAAAGCAGGCTCCAGGCTCTGAGCTGGCAGTCAACACAGAGCCTGACGCGTGGCTCAAACACATGAACTGTGAGGTCATGACCTGAGCCGAAGTCGGACGCTTAACCGACTGGGCCACCCAGGCACCCCAAGTTTATTTACTTTTTTGAGATAGAGCACAAACAGTTGAGGGGCAGAGAAGGGGAGACAGAATCCCAAGCAGGCTCCACACCATCAATGCAGAGCCTGATGCAGGACTCAAACTCACAAAATGTGAGATCATGACCTGAGCCAAGATCAAGAGTCGGATACTTAACTGACTGAGTCACCCAGGTACCCAGTTGTGTTTTTATTCTTAAATATTAATTTAAAATAATAATAGGCAAAATATATGAACACAGTTCACAGATAATACAAGTGGTTTCAAACAAATGAAAAGATATTCAATCACCTCATAAGAAGAGAAATGCAGATTAAAATTAAAGTAAGATACTATTTTTTTAAATGTTTATTTGAGAGAGAGAGAGAGAGAGAGAAAACAAGTGGGGGAGGGGCAGAGAGAGAGAGGGAGAGAGACAGAATTCTAAGCAGGCTTCATGCTGACACCACAGAGCCCAATGTAGGGCTCAATCTCACAAACCATGAAATCATGACCTGAGCCAAAATCAAGGGCTGGACGTTTAACCAACTGAGACACCCAGGAACCCCAAGATAGTGTTTTTTTAGATACCAGATCGGCAAAATTGTGCACTGTAGAGAAATATATTCTTATTCGTTATTAGTGGGACTATAAAATGGTTGTCTCTTTGAAGACAATTTGGCAAAAGCTATTACAATTTAAATGCATATTATCTTTTGAGCTAGCAATTCCTCTGCTAGAAATTTATCTTACATTAGTGCTCACACAGAGACACAAAGACTTGTGTACCATAGTATTCACTGTAGTGTTGTCAATAGTTACAAAAGACTGGATACAACCTAAAATGTCTATCAAAAAAGAACTGGTTCATATGGTGATGGATGTTATCTAGACCTTATGGTGATATTTTGCAACATATACAAATATTGAATCATTATGTTGTACACCTGAAACTAATATAATGTTATGTGTCAATTATGCCTCAATTTAAATAGAAAATAATGATTAATTAAATTATGTCATATTCAGGGTGCCTGGGTGGCTCAGTCAGTTGAGCATCCAACTTTGCTGAGGTCATGATCTCATGGTTTGTGGGTTTGAGCCCTGCATCAGGCTGTGCTGATGGCTCAGAGCCTGGAGCCTGCTTTGTATCCTGTGTCTCCCTCTCTCTTTGCATCTCCTTTGCTCATGCTCTCTCTCTTTCTCTGTTTCTCAAAAGTAAAAATAAAAAAACATTAAAAAATTTTTTAATTATGCCATACTCTTACAGTGGGATGCTATACAGCTGTTAAAAAGAATGAACTAGACATTTATGTACAGATATGGAATGGCCTCCAAGATACTAAGTGGAATGCAAGATGCAGAACTGAGTATATGGCATACTACTATTAATATATCAGGGAACATCATGACTGAATAAGATATCCCTTGTTTGTGGACCCACACCCCAACAACAATAATTTTGTATTTATCCATGGACAAAAGTGCTTTGTGGGAGCTGTGGGATTCAGCATCATAGGTCAGGGGACCTGGGAAAAATCTCGCCCACATGTTGCATTGGGCAATGGGCATACAAACCTTGGTCCCACTGTGGACCCTGCAGTGGCCCATGAATCGACTCCCACCCCTCTCAGCCACAGTCCAGGTGCCCCTGGAAAACAGCATCTTACACAATCACTTATGGCTGAGAGAGGTCTTTTTATAAGTCCAGGTTTCCAGTGAAGAAGTTCCAGCAAACAGCTGGAGGAAAAACAAAAGTTTAGATGCATTGTAAAGGCAGCTATTAAAGACTAGAGGAGGTGACTGCTCTTTCAAAGATGGAGACAGCAAGATAAAATTTCAAGGAATGTGAAACATGTATCACAATCATCTCTCAGTAACCAGTCTCGACATGGAGTCTTTCAGTCTCAATCATCAGTCTCAATCATCTTTAAGTTTCAACATGAAGACCTGCAATTGACCCAGCAGATAATTTGAAATACCTGTTTTAAGGAAATTCAATGAGCTACAGGAAAACACAGAAAGACAATTCAATGAAATCAAGAAAACAATACATGAACAAAATAAGTTTAACAAAGAGATAGAAATGGTTAAAAAAAAAAGAACAAAAATTCTAGAGCTGGAGAATACAGTGAATGAAATGAAATCTGCAATAGACATCATCAACAATAGGATAGATTGGAAAGAATCTATTAGAAGATAGGAACTTTGAAATTATCCAGTCAGAGGAGAACAAAGAAAAAAGGATGAAAAGGAGTGAAGACAGCCTACGTGAGTTATGGCAAACCATCAAAAGCAATAATTTATGAATTATGGAGTTCCAGAGTGAGTAGGGGGGAGAAAGCTTATTTAAAGAAATAAAGGCTGGGGTGCCTGGGTGGCTCAGTTGGTTAAGTGTTTGCCTCTTGATTTTGGCTCAGGTCATGATCTCATCCTTGTGAGTTCAAGCCCTCCATTGGGCTCTTCACTGACAACACAGAGCCTTCTTGGGATTCTCTTTCTCCCTCTCTGTCTCTCCTGTGCTCATGCACTCACTCTCTCTCTCTCTCAAAATAAAGAAAGAAAAGAAAAGAAATAATAGTTGAGAACTGCCCAAATCTGGCGAAAGGTTTGGATATCCAAGTTCAAGAAGCTCACAGGTCACCAAACAAACTCAAATTCTCTCCAAGACATATTATAATACAGTTGTCAAAAATCAAAGTTAAAAAAGGAATCTTAAAAGCAGGAAGAGAAAAAAAGCTTGTAACATACAAGGAACCTCTCCCATAAGGCAATCATCATCTCTCAGCAGAAACCTCACAGCCTCAGAGTGAATTAGATGATATATTCAAACTGCTAAAAGAAAAAAAAAACCTCTGCCAACCAAGAATACTCTGTTTGGCAAAGTTATCCTTCAGAAGTGAAAAAAAAAAAGAATTTTTCAGAAAAACAAGCTAAAGGAGTCTGTCACTGCTAGACCTGCCTTACAAGAAATGCTGAAAGGAGTTCTTTAAACTAAAATGAAAGGATATTGATTAGAAACAACAGCAACAACAAAGCACATCAGTAGATGAATGAATAAAGAAGTTGTGAGATATATATATCTCACAGTTGTGAGATACAGATACCTGCATGAGAACATAGATACATATATTCTCATATATATATAGTGATATATGAGATATATACCTACAAATGAGAATAATATTCAGTCATGCAGGAGAAGGAAATCCTGCCACTCGTGACAACAAGGATATACTTTGAGGGTGTTATGCTAAGTGAAATAAGTCAGAGAAAGATAAATACTGTGTGATATCACTTACATGCAGAATCTAAACTCATAACTGAACTCATAGAAACAGAGTAGAATGCTGAATGCCAGAGGGTAGGAGATACAGGGAGATGTTTATTAAAGGGGACAAACATCCAGTTTTAAGTTCTGGGGAATCTAATATACAGCATGATGATCATAGTTAACAATACTGTATTATATACGTGAAAGTTGCGATGAGACTAAATTTTAAATGTTCTCACCACAAAAAAGTAATTATGTAAGGTGACAGAGCTATTAACTAATGCTACTGTAGTAATCATTTCACAATATGTAAGTATGAAATCAACATGCTGTACTCGTTAAACGTATACAGTGTTATATGTCAACTTTATCTAAATAAAACTCTTATATAAATACAAATATATATAGACCCTAAATGAAAACAATAAGAACAGGTAAGGTGATTGTTGCAGTGATAGCAATGGGAAGAGACTTACTTTTCCTTGTGTTCCTTTTTGTACTGGTTGATATTTTTACCACTTAAAACATATATGTAGAATTGGCCGTGAGCAGAGCTTGAAGTGGCTGAGGCCTGTTGGCAGGGCTTTGGAGATGGACAGCCAGATTCTTTAAGATGACTACCTGGCGGCTTTCCTACCTGCCTGTGAGAACCCCCCAGCATGAATTCCTCCTCAGGAGATAGTAAACCATACAGACAAGAGCAATGAGCTGAAACACAGTTTCTGCCCCCAATCTTCACACTGAAGAAGCCCCCTGGAGCTCAGTCAGGATTTAACATCCAAGGACGAAAAGCCTCCCAGCTAGGTGACTTCATTTTCAAGGTGATTCCTGACTTTGATGCACATTGAAAAGGACTTCAGAAAAGAGACCAAACCCTAGGTGTGAAGGGTGTGGATTTCCAAGATCTGTTGAGATCCTGAGGACAGCCAGCAAAATCATCATACACATCTGCTTCTCTCTGTACATGTATCATCACCAGAAGGAGAGGACTGTGCGCTGGAGAGTTGCAACCCACAGCCCTCCACTTGGAATCTTCTGGGGAAAAGCTGGCAAGGCCCCATGGCAACCATTTGGGAAACTACTCTCAGCTCATCCCTGGCAGAGTGGAGTGGGGAGAATGAGGCGAGAGTGAGACCCTGCACTGAGCCAGCTAACCAGATGCATCATCCAAAACTGTACTTTTAGTGCCCTAGTTTTCTAAGTGAGCTTCTTTCCGTGGATGGAGACGGATGATGATGTCTAGGTACAGCCTAGCCTGTGGAGAACCCTGCTAGGAAAGGCGAGTGGCATTTACTGAATACCATGTTTTAGGCATTTACACATATGTCGTATCATTTCCATTAGAGTATAGAAATCAGTAGAAAAAAGAATCTTGAGGCCTTTCATCCAATCTGCCTGGCCACCTCCTCCCATCTTTATATTACCAGTCTCGTATACTTTGGAGATTCCAGTGAGACCCTGTCCCCCCTTCTTCTTCCTTCTCCTATTCTCTACTCCTGCCAAAAGTAAAATGCAACATTGAAAGGAAAAAAATATATGTATACTTAAGAATAAAATAATGTAATTCATCAAGAAAGCTGATAAGAAATACTGTGAAATTATTTCAAAAAATGCCAAAAGATGTATTTGATAAAACCATCACTATTTTTATTTATTTTTTTAATGAATCATGTTTTTTTTTAATTTTTTAATTTTTTTTCTTATTTATTTCTGAGAATATGAGAGAGAGTGAGAGAGAGAGCATGAGCAGGGGAGGATCAGAGAGAGAGGGAGACACAGAATCTGAAGCAGGCTCCAGGCTCTGAGCTGGCTGTCAGCACAGAGCCCGACGCGGGGCTCGATCCCACAAACTGTGAGATCATGACCTGAGCCGAAGTCGGACGCTTAACCGACTGAGCCACCCAGGTGCCCGATTCTAACATAATTTTAATAATAGTGATGGTTTGGGGCCCTTGGGTGGCTCAGTCGGTTAAGCGTCCGACTTCGGCTCAGGTCATGATCTCACAGTTTGTGGGATCGAGCCCCGCGTCGGGCTCTGTGCTGACAGCCAGCTCAGAGCCTGGAGCCTGCTTCAGATTCTGTGTCTCCCTCTCTCTCTGATCCTCCCCTGCTCATGCTCTCTCTCTCACTCTCTCTCTCTCTCAGAAATGAATAAAAAACATTTTAAAAAATTATGTTAGAATCTAAAATTAAAAATAGTGACAGTATCAAATGCTAGTGAATATGCAGAGAAACTGTATCTCTCACACTTTGCCAGTGGGAATGTGACATGGTATAGCCATCCTGGAAAATAGTTTGGCAATTACTTTTTTTCTTAATTTTTATTATTATTTTTTTAAATTAATGTTTATTCTTTAGAGAGAGAGACAGAGTGCAAGCAGGAGAGGGGCAGAGATAGAGGGAGACACAGAATCCGAAGCAGGCTCCAGGCTCTGAGTTATCAGCACAGAGCCCAACACGTGGCTTGAATCCATAGATGGTGAGATCATGACCTGAGCCGAAGTCGGATGCTTAACCAACTGAGCCACCTGGGCACCCCTGACAATTTCTTTAAAAAATAAACATTCAGTTACCAGCATGGTAACCACACATGGTTACCAGTATGACCCAGCAATCCTGGACATTTATCCCAGAGAAATGAAGCATATGTCCTTGTAAAAACTTCAGTGTGATTGTTCAGAGCACGTTTTTGTAATAAACAAAAACTGGAAACAAAATGTTCTTCTATAATAAGTGAATGGTTTGAAAAACTGTGGTACAGTGCCCACTTTGGCAGCACATGTACTAAAATTTGAACAATACAGAGAAGATTAACGTGGTCCCTGCACAAGGGGGACATGCAAATTCATGAAGTCTTCCATATTTAAAAAACAACACAAAACAAAACAAAACCTGTTACACCTGTACCCTGGAATACTGCTTGGTAATGAAAAGGAACAAACTATCGATACAACAACTTGAATAGACCTCCAGGCATTATGCTGAAAGAGCCAATTTGAAAAGGTTACATATTATTGATACCATCACATTTTTCAAAATAAAAAAATAGAGATGGAGAACTGATTAGTGGTTGTCAGGGGCTAGGGATGGTAGTGGGGAGGGGAAAGATGACCATAAAGGAATGGCATGGGGGAGGTCTTTGTAGGGATGAAACAGTTCTGTATCTTGCTTGCAATGGTGGCTACACAAATGAATAAAATAACTATAGAAGTAGGCACACACATTGTATCAATGTCAGCTTTCTGCTTTTGCTATTGTCCGTGTAGTTACATAAGATGTAACCATTGGGGAACTGGGTGGAAAGTAAACAGAGACCTCTCTACTGTCTTTGCAAAATTCTGTGAATCTATAATTATCTCAAAATAAATATTTTTTAAAAAGCATTAGGTAACTACAAATAACCAAATGTTTCTTTTGAGAGTATCTCTCTCAGGTATTTAGAAACATTCTTTAACAATAAAACATTTAAAGACATTCTCATTAAAATAAGAAAAGGGGCACTTGGGTGGCTCAGTCAGTTAAGCATGGACTCTTGATTTCCACTCAGGTCATGATCTCAGGTTCATGAGATTGAGCCCTGAGTCAGGAACTTCCAGCACAGAGCCTGCTTGGGATTCTTTTTCTCTTTCCTCTCTCTGCCCTACACCCCCGTTCATGCACACACACATGGTCTCTCTCTGTCAAAATAAATAAATAAACATTAAAAATTAATAAAATAAAATAAGAAACCTTAAAGAAAAAAAAACCATATCTATAGTGATGCTATTATTTAATATTGTTTTAGAAGTTTTTGACAAGGGGCACCTTGGTGGCACAATCAGTTGAGTGTCCAACTTCAGCTCAGGTCATGATCTCACAGCTGGTGAGTTCGAGCCTTTAGTTGGGCTCTGTGCTGACAGCTCAGAGCCTGGAGCCTCCTTTGGATTTTGTATCTCCCTCTCTCTCTGCCCTCCCCTGCTTGTGTTCTGTCTCTCTCTCTCTCTCTCAAAATAAATAAACAATAAAAAAATTTTTAATAAAAATAAGTTTTTGCCAATACATTAAGATCCGAAACAGAAGTAAAAGATTTAAGTATTAGGAAGGAAATAAAATTATCTTTATTTGTATACAATATACCATGATCCTTTAAATGTGGAAAACAACTTCAAACTCTTAGAATTAATAAGGGAATTCAGAACCAAGATAATGTCACAAGATCAATACTTTGATCAGCAGTCACTGAACTCTTCTCCCTTATGATAGTAGCAAATATATAAACAACATAGGAATAAAACTAATGAAAAAACATATGTAAAACATATTTAACCTATATGATCAAAAACTGAAAAGCTTTACTGAGAGATAGTGAATATTATGATTTTATTTCAAATTTAAACATAAATGTAAAAATAAATAAATAAAAGCAATTTCTGCATTCTAAGGGTCTTGGTAAGATTTAGAAATTCTTGCAATTACTAGTAATATTATTCAATGAATTTTAAGCAAAAATATTTATGTTGTAGAGTCTAGCTCTGTACTACTCAAAGTGGTAGCCATTGGCCCCATGAATTATGGCTAATCTATACTGTCTGAATTGCTATGTGTTCTAAATAGAAAAAGCATATCAGATTTTGAAGATTTAGTGTAAAATATTTAAAATATCTAATTCATAATTGTGTTGATTACATGTTGAAATAATATTTTGGAAGTTTTGGGTTATGTAAAATACATTATCAGAATAGTGGTTCCTACAAAATTTTAAGTTACATATATTTGCTCACCTTTGTGACTCACTTTATATTTCAGTCAGACAGCACTGTTACAGCTTTTTTATTTCACACTTTCATGTACCTATAGACCTTACTGGCCATTAAAATTACTTGTGAGCTTTAAAAGGAAAAAAGCCTGGGCCATACCCTAAGAAATTCAATTGGTGTTGGTAATATTGGTATGGTCTTAAATCTCCCTAGGTGATTCTAATGTACTCCCAAGGTTAATAACCACCACTATTGACCTCAGGCTATCAACCCCTGAAGGATTCTTTTTCACGTTTATCATTTCATACAATTAAGACAGGTACCCGGCAGGCTAAGAAGTAACATTTGAATCTGAGAGCACAGATGTGGTGCTGGTTCCATTCTGGATGGATACCTCATGTGGCTGATCAAAACAAGATGTGAATTTTCCCCAGCCTATGGCATGATCATGGCAAAAATTTCAGTTTATAAAAACAAAGTACAGTAATTCTTTTTTTTTTTTTTAAAGCTTTAAAGCACAGTTACTAATATTTGAGCTGGTTCTGAGCAGATAGAATTTATGATGGATTTAAAACACAGAGGTTTGTGTGCTTTCTTCCCTTTCTGATCACAGTATCTCTAGGAGGTGGGCAGGGCAAGCGTTTTTATCCTCATTTTTAGAGGAAGACACTGAGGCCCACCCACAGAGGGCAAGTGGGTTGCCTAAGATTGTGTGACTAGGTACATAACATAGTCTAGACTGGGAAACACCTTTCAACACCTGTCCAAGGCCCTCTGTTTCCAATGTATTTATCTTAGGACAAATCACTACGACCTATGATAAAAGGAGCTTTTGTCCAGAGGTTCTTTCCCTTAATCGGCCCTAGCGAAGGACTTCAGTTTATACTAGATACCCCTGCTGATGTACATGGTACTAAGCCAACATCTTAAAAGCAAAATAGTTCATGCTCAAAGATGAATCAAAATGTGATTCAGTCAACCAAACATGTGCCCCCAAAATTTCAGCTTCCAGGTAACCAAGAATGCATTATCTTCCTGTAAAAAGTCTGCATTACTCTACAGGAGACAGCATGGCGTGAGAGAAGAGCATGGACTCTGGGGGCTCTCAGACCTGCAGGTGACTCCAAGTGCCAGCCCTCACTAGGCTGTGCATCCTGGGCATGGCTCGTCTCTCATTTCCTGAACATCTACTGGCAAGAGACACAACAGAATCCTAGGCTTCAAGTGGAGCACACACCATGGCCCCTCCCCTCAAGAATTCTCAGGATGTGGGAGAAGTGTGTCCTATAAATCCCAGAAGAACAGAGCTGCTCTGGAGCAGCTGGGCAGCATCACAGGAGCCTGAAGGTGATGGCTCAGGGAAATAAATAGAGATACATAGAGAAAGAGAAAGCAAACGTGGCAAAAAGTTAACAATTGGTGAATCTAGAAATATGGAGATTCATTGTATATCTTGCAACTTTTCTATAAATTGGAACATTTTCAAAATAAAAAGCTGGGGTAGAAAAGTTTAAAAAAAAACAAATATTAAATACTAAAATATTTAGCAATAAGCTAATGAGAAATGTGAAAGTTTAATACAGAGAAAACCCCTATATATTACTAAGGTTTATAAAACCTGAATAAATGGGAGAGACATACCTTGAGGAGGAGGACATCAAATGGGGTGGATAGGAATAAGAGATCCAAGACTGAATTATGTACCCCCAAAATTTGTATATTGAAACCCTAATCCCTAATGTGACTATTCAGAGATCGGGTCTTTAAAGAAGTAATTAATATTAAATGGGGTCATAGGGTGAGGCCCTAATCCATTAGGACTGGTGTCTTTGTAAGAAGAGGAAGAGAGACCAGAGGGCTGATTCCCTCCTCCTTCCACTCCCCTCCCCCCTCCATATCCCCATCTCCCTATTTCCCTCTCTCCACCTGTTCACAGGCACAGAGGAAAGACGTGTGAGGACTCATGGAGAAGACAGCCATCTGCAAACCAGGAGGAGAGACCTCACCAGAAACTAACCCTGCTGGCACCTGGACCTGGGAGTTCCAGCTTCCAGACTGTGGGAGAATAACAGCCTGAGTTACTTTGTTGTTGCAGCCTGGGTGGACTAAGACAACAAGTGCTGTATCCAAGTTCAAAGTCACAAGATGAGGGCATGGTGGAGCCTCGATTTGTACCTAGAACAGTTTGGACCCTCCCCCCATGTAGAGATTGTGTGAGTCAGGTCAGTGGGATCAGAAATGCCCATGGAGGCACCTGGCTGGCTCAGTCAAAAGAACAAACAACTCTTGATCTCTGGGTTGTGTGTGAGTTTGTGCCCTACTTTGGGTATAAAGATAACTAAAAAATTAAGTGTCCGACTTTGCCGCAAGTCATGATCTCCTGGTTGGTGAGTTCAGGCCACGTTGGGCTCAGAGCCTGGACACAGAGCCTGGAGCCTGCTTCAGATTCTGTGTCTCCCTCCCTCTCAAAAAAAAAATATTAAAAAGATTTTTTTAAAAAAAGAAAGAAAAGAAATGCACACAGCAGTTTGTACCCTGATTATGGTAGTCTATGTGAAGCCTCAAGTTCTGCATTTTAATAAGTGACATACCCACCAGGTGATTGTGTTGAAGGTGGTCCCACACCACACTTTGAGAAATGCCACTCTACTTTCATCCTGGAGGTTCAGAGAGATGCAGCAGGGAGCAAGTGATCCTCAAAGGAAATGCATATACAGCTTCTACAAAGATAAGCAAAATGAAACAAACAAACCACTATTAGCCTCTGAGAAAGAGTTTTGAGGGTCTGGTATGAGAGGGAGACTTATTTTTTTATTTTTGTTTTATTTCATATTTTTTAACCTTAAGAAAGTATAGTAAAACCTTGAATTGCGAATAACTTGTTCTGCGAGTGTTCTGCAAGACAAGCAAACATTTCTAATAAACTTTAAAAAAAATTTTAACATTTATTTATTTTTAAGAGATACAGAGAGACAGAGCACAAGTAGAGGACGGGAAGAGAGAGAGAGGGAAACAGAATCTGAAGCAGGGTCCAAGCTCTGAGCTGTCAGCACAGAGCCTGACGCAGGGCTCGAACTCAGAAACTGCGAGATCATGGCCTGAGCCGAAGTTGGACACTTAACCAACTGAGC